CCCTGAGGGGGAAGGGGGTCTACCGGAGGGGGACCAGGAGCAAGGAAAAGCGGCGGGGGAGGGAGGGGGGCAGTGCGGTAGGGGAAGAGACGGTAAAAAGGGACCGACTCGTCAAAGGTGACGTCCTGAGAGGCGAAGACCCGGCGCGAGGTGGGGTGGTAAAACTGCCAGCCCGGCGCGTCAGGGACAAAGCCAAGGAAGACACAGGGAAGTGTGCGGGAGGAGAGCTTGTCCGCGGACGTATCGTGGACAAGGGCACGAGCACCCCACACCCGGAAGCGCGACGCATCGCCAACCTCCCCCGTCCAACGCAGTGTGGGCGAGGTCTCCGGCAAGGAGACACGGGGCCAGAGGTTGAGCTGATGCGCGGCGTACCTGACCGCAAACGGCCACAGAAAATGGGGAGCCGCCGCGTGGACCAAGGAGGTACGAGCGACCTCCATGACCAGGCCAATGCGGCGCTCAGCAACCCCATTCTGCTGTGGGGAGTCCGGAAGCGTGAAGGTCTGCTCGATGCCCTCCGCCTGACAGAAGGTCCTCAAGAGATCGGAGGAAAACTCACCACCTCTGTCAGAGTGCAGACGCAGGACAGGAAGATCCGTCCGGAAACGGCGGCGGAGCTGGAGACGAACTGTGCGGATCCAAGGGATCAGAACAGCAGGGACCTCACCCTTGGTGCGCAAGGGGAAGACCGTGGTGTAACGCGAGTAGTCGTCGACAACCAGCAAAAAGTACCGCTCACCGCCCTGGCCACGAACGCGGGCTGGGCCCCACACGTCCAGGTGGAGGGTCTGCAGAGGAGCCTCTGTCGGGGGGAACGAGGAGGAGTGAGGAGCGGCGCGCTGCCGCCCCTCGACGCAAGGAAGGCAAGGCGGCGCAGGCGAGGCAGGGAGGGGAGGGAGGGACCTGGGAAGACCAGACACAAGGCGGCGACGGTGCATGCCACGGAGGCGTGGCAAGGAGGGGTGACCCAGGCGGTGGTGCCAGAGAAGAGTCTGGTGCGACAGGGAACGACACTCACAGGCGTGGGCCACCAGACCTGACGCGGACACCTGACCGACAGCAGCGACCTGAGGAGACGCAGTGGTCAGTGTGTAGAGACTCGACCCCGGCCGACGGGTAAACGTAGCCAGGTGACGGCCGGTCCTGGAGCACGTGCAGATCGCCACACGCTGTCCTCCAGGGGTAAAGGTGTCAACCCACTGATCCTGGATGACAGCGTTGCTCACCAGGTTCGTCGAGAACGAGGGGAGGTGGAAACCCGACAACGAGCCAGACGGAACCGCCGGACAAGGGAGTACAGTGGTGGACTGGGCAAGGACTGGGCCCCCAGAGGGGTCAGCCAAGGAGACTGGGACCGGTGCAGGAAGCGGTGTGAGCTCAGTACTGTCACGAAAGAAACAGCGGGAAGCACCTGAGTCAAGGGTGAAGGTGTGACAGGCCTCAGCCGGTGCGGTACCTGAGAGAGCAGTCTCTGTGGGTGCTGTACCTGAGAGAGCAGACTCACAAGCAGCAGGGACAGCACTGGAGGGAGCAAGTACAGGGGGCACCATACCAGAGAGAGCAGACTCACTAGTACCCAGGGCAGCGGGCTCTATACCTGGGTCAGGCGGCACACACAAGTAACAGTCTCCCTCGGCACTAACAGTCAATGCATACATGGCAGCAATAATAGCATCATAGTCAAGAGCAAAGATATCAACACCAGCCCTCATGAGCTCAGCCCAGCGGGGGCGCTCAACATCCTCGCCCATCTCCTCACGCCAAGCGTCGTCAAGGCGGGAGAAGCAGCGGTACGGGGTGTGGAACCTCCCACACGTCTGTCCCTTGCGGTCACCTGTGCGAATGACATAGGAACAGCGGCCACTGCCCCCCGACGTCCCACGCTGAGCAAGCCACTCACGAAGCTGTTGGGTCGTCTGGGGACGCTGCTGCTGCTGGGAGCTCTGGCCCGAGCCAGTGCCTCCACTCCGACCTCCGCCGCCACCACTACCACCGCTCCGACCGCCACCGCCACCACCGCCACCACCGCCACCGCCGCCACCGCCGCCGCCGCCACTACTGCCACTGCTTCCTCCGCCGCCCCCGCCTCCACCGCCGACCCCACTCCCACCAGCGCTCCCGCCACCGCTCCCTCCAGCACCGCCTCCCCCCCCACCTCCCCCGCCTCTTCCCCCCCCAGCGCCACCCCCGCCACCCTTGCCCCCCTTGCCCTTGCCGGTGCGGCGCCTCCCACCAGGAGCAGAAGCAGCGCCAGCAGACTCAGCACCAAGGAAGTCAACAGCAGCAGCAGTAGCGTAGGAGGGAGCGAGGGGAGAGGGAGAACACCCCTCAAAGATGGGGGTGCGAGGAGCGCCACGAGCAGCACCGACAGCTACAATGCTCTTTTCGGCCGCTAGCAGCTGCTCCTCTAGGAGGGCGACTGTGAGCTCAGTGGGACAGCGAGCAAGGAAGTGGTCTCGAACTGAGCTGAGGGTGTCAGGGAGACGGGTGACTATGAAGTGGAGTGTCCAGTACAGTGGAGGGGGATTCTTAGCGCAGAACTCGGTGGGAAGGGCGGCACGCAGGCGAGCATCACTAGTGCGAAGGTGGGTGATAAGGTCGGCGACTGTAGCAAAGGTGGACAGCTCAGGGAACAGGTACGGCAGCATGAGGCGGCTAAGCTCGGCTGTGGCAGGCGAGGAGTAGCGAGCAACGACAGCATCGTACAGGGCCTTAGCGGATTTGCAGTCGCCAAAATGCTCGAGCTCAGCTAGCGGCAGGTGACTGCGAATGGCTAGGCGAGCAGCTGCGTCACGAGTCTGCCAGTGGGAACGAACACTAAGCTCAGCTGTGGCAGGAGGGGCAGGTGCAGCACCAGACGCGTAATCATAGAGCGACACATGCTCCTTGCTATCGCTCAGAAGGAACAGCTGCAGGTCATCCAGCCAAGTGGCGAACTTCACAGGGCGGCCCTCAGCATCGAACGACAGCACGCGGATGGAAGCCATAGCGACAGTGCGACTGAGCAAAGGAAGCTGCCGCAGCGCTGCAGGTAGGTAGCTCGGCGGGAAGCGCGGCGGGCGGGCGACGCGGCGAGCGGGCAGTGCGGGGGGCGGGCTACGAAGCGGGCAGCGCGGTGGGCAGGCGGCGCTGCAGGCGGGAAGTGCGGCGGGCGGGCTGCGAAGCGGGCAGCGGGGCGGGCGGGCGACGCGGCGAGCGGGCAGCGCGGCGGGCGGGCTGCGAAGCGGGCAGCGGGCGGGCGGGCGACGCTGCAAGCGGGCAGCGGGCGGGCGGGCGACGCTGCAAGCGGGCAGCGAGGCGGGCGGGCGACGCTGCGAGCGGGCAGCGCGGCGGGCGGGCTGCGAAGCGGGCAGCGGGCGGGCGGGCGACGCTGCAAGCGGGCAGCGAGGCGGGCGGGCGACGCTGCGAGCAGGCAGCGCGGCGGGCGGGCGACGCTGCGAAGCGGGCAGCGGGCGGGCGGGCGACGCTGCAAGCGGGCAGCGGGCGGGCGGGCGACGCTGCGAGCGGGCAGCGCGGCGGGCGGGCTGCGAAACGGGCAGCGCGGTAGGCGGGCGACGCTGCGAGCGGGCGGCTCGGCGGGCGGGCGACGCTGCGAGGGGCGCGCGAGGGCGCTAACGAGAGGCGCACGAGGGCGCTAACAAGGGGGCGCGAGGGCGCTAGCGAGGGCGCGCGAGGGCGCTAACGAGAGGCGCGCGAGGGCGCTAACGAGGGCGCGCGAGGGCGCTAACGAGGGCGCGCGAGGGCGCTAACGAGGGCGCACGAGGGCGCTAACGAGGGCGCACGAGGGCGCTACGAGGCTAGGGCACGGGGTAGCGTGGTAACCGCATGCGAGCGGTGGTGGGCCCTTAAAAAAAAACGGTCGGTAGGTCCTAGGGACCTCCTGCTCTGATACCATGTTAAAAGAACTAGGCAAGAATGATGCATTGAAAGAAACAGTTGGGTACAAGTAGCTAACCCTAGTTGGGTTTGTACCCTGTATTGGCTACCCCACTACAGCCTACCTACATATAAATAACACATTACAACTTAACATCTTGATCTTGCATTGCTTTTGTTGTACACTGATATATATGATTATACCTGCATGCTTACACTTGCTAGGTTGTGATCAGTGTGCTGCTCTTGCTTTTATAAACTCTGCATGTGAACTGGTCTTGTGGCCACTTGTTTGTGCTCGGAATGCGTGGTGATCTTGAGATCCACCCCGAGCTTTGCTTTGCTTCTTCTCTTGACTGGTCTTGTGACCGTTGCTTGCTCAGCCTATCCTCCACTTCGCCTATGGGGGTGTGTCAAACTATATATATCCATATTGTACTAGGCTGTAGGGGGTTTAGCCTTAGGGGGTACCACAATTCTCTCGACACTGTACTTGTACCCCCTCCCCTTTGAGCTAATCACAACTCCTAATTCTAACATAAAACTCTTGTGTTCTTTCTTTATTATTAATTCTTGTTCTCACATTATACCAGCACAGGCATTCAAGACTTCCGCTCCGCTGCAACACTTCACAAGAGATTAAACTCTAAAAGATCCCAAGTATGTGGTGACAACACCAGGCAAAAATACACAAGTAGGAAAAAAATACATGTGGTGTAAAAGTGTGTCATTATGGCACTTTATCATACTTTATTGGACTATGTTACACATCAACAACATTACAACATCACTGCATGGCCATGCCCCGAAAGGACTGATGATACCAACAAGACTACCATGCTAATGAATGTGGGTGCAGGTGGGGAGGGAATGCGATGGGAATGTCTTGTAAGGAGTCCATGATACAACAGCTAGGGGTGCCTCTCAACTCAAAGCCCAAGTTTTGCGCCCATTTAGGCATCTTCTTGAGAGCTTACCACGAGCCATGTCCCTCGGTTCATGGGAGGCACTTGGTGGGCAAGCCTGGCAACTGAGCCTGCTGATGGTTCATCCTCCACACTCCAGTCACCCATGCAGTAACCCAGTCGCCCAACCTGCCAGCTAGCCAGCTACCCAGCCAGTCAGCCGTCGGGGAGTTTGGTTTTGAAGAGAACGCAGCGCTTGTCCTCTGGAAAGTAGGAGTTACCATCGCCGGGGTTCATGTTGACGGTCATGCCAAACACGTCCATCTCTGCTGCGGTCACCTTGAGCTTCACATACGCGTCGCGCAGTGCGAACAGGTTCTCTATGCGGTTGAACGTGCGCTGCTGCACGTCCTGTTGGAAACATGGGTTGAGAGCCATGAAATGAAATCGGGAGAGAATCAAGGGATGAGCACAGAACAGAGAGAAGAGGTGAGAAAAGAATGAGGAGATGAAGCGAGGAAGACTGGGTTCTTCATGCACTGCCATGCACCATGCACCGCCATGCACCACCATGCACATGCACCGCCATGCACCATGCACCACCATGCACATGCACCGCCATGCACCATGCACCGCCATGCACCATGCATCACCATCCACTATGCACTAAGCACAGACCAAATACCACAAATAATGCACATCAACCCTCACACGCCCTTCCAAGTAACACACCGTGCCGGTGATATACAGCTGGTTGCCGATATCCTGCGTCACAGCACCATCGTTCATAGCCATGGCTGCCGTTGCCGTCAGCCCCCCTGCGCTCCCACCCCCCAGGCCCGCCCCCTGGCCCTCTGCGCACACGATCTGCGCCTCGCCCGAGTTGCCCGCCAGCACCTGGATGTCGCTGCCCATTATACTCGTTTTAAGCTCACTCGTTGACAGCACCGCGTCGCCCTGCCGCGGCTGGATGGCGAAGGTGGGCACCTGTCCCTCGTGGCCCGCAAAGAAGAAGGCGCAGTCCGTGGGGGACGGCTGGCAGCCAGCTATTGGGGGCTCGATTGGCGGGGACACGGGCGGAGGAGGCGGGTTGGCTGGGGGAGGGTTGTTGGGCGGAGGGGGGTTTGGGGGAGGGGGGCTAGGGGGCGGGGGGCTGGGTGGTGGTGGGGAGGGGGTGCTTGGGGGAGGAGGGGAGGGGGGAGGGAGGGAGGGTGGGGCGATGGAGGGGGGAGCAGCAGTGTGGGCTGGTCTCGAAGATGGAAGGGGAGGCGGTGCTGGGCTGTGCTGTGGATGGCGGAGGGGGGGAGTGGCCTGGCGGGTTGGTGGAGGAGGAGGAGTTGAAAGGCGGCTGGGGCTGGCCAGAGGGCGCAGGGGAGGAGGGAAACAAGGGGGAGGAGGAGGAAGAGGAGGTGGTGGTGTTGGTGGTGCTGTCCGTGGTGTTGCGGATAATGGCAAGGCCTGTGGTGCCTGTGGTGGTGAGGGGAATGGGGAGAGGGGAAGTGGGGGAGAGGAGAAGGGAGGAGGTTAGGAAAGTGGATGGGGAAGCGCAAGCGAGGGAGGCAGCTTTGAGCGGGCAAGTGCGGATACAGGTCAGGCCTGTCAAACACGGGTGAAATGGTGTTGGCACTTACAGTTAGCATCGATCCATGAGAGTTCATCCTTGTGTGTGTCAATCACGAGGTACTTGTCTCGCATCCATGGATCGCCAATCACTGCCCGCTCCGCCTGGCTGCTCGCCATGCGCACCGTGAAGCACACCACGTTTGGGCTGCTCGCGGCCTGGGGTGGGTGCAGTGTGGGGCACAGGTGGCAGGGGAGGCGGAAGGGGAGAGAGGGGAGGGAACAGGGGAGAGGGGGCGGAAAGTGGAGAGGGAGAGGAGAATAGCAATTGACGGGGGCGAGCAGCAAACATTGTGCAGAGCGATGTGACAGAGCGATGTGACAGAGCGATGTGACAGAGCGATGTTACAGTGCGATGTTACAGTGCGATGTTACAGTGCTATGTTACAGTGCGATGTTACAGTGCTATGTTACAGTGCGATGTTACAGTGCGATGTTACAGAGCGATGTGACAGAGCGATGTGACAGCTCCAGTGCGTGACTTACTCATGTGACACAGACAGACACAGCGACACGCTTTCAGGTTCCACACACCATCCAAGGCAAGAGCACACACGGAAACAAGGTGGGATGCAATACTTCATGGCACTACCACATAGACCTTCTTTGGCCCTGAGACACATGGCATGGCATGGCATGGCATGGCAGGGCATGGCATGGCATGGCAGGGTATGGCATGGCATGGCAGGGTATGGCATGGCATGGCATGGCATGGCAGGGCATGGCATGGCATGGCATGGCATGGCATGGCATGGCATGGCATGGCATGGCATGGCATGGCATGGCATGGCATGGCATGGCATGGGCATGGCATGGCAGGGGACGCAAGGGCAAGGCGGTGAGCAGGGGGGCGTACGATCTTGAGGTAGTTGGTGGGCGCGATGGTGAAGTCCGCGCTGCCCTTGCTGCCCGCCAGCACGAGTGTGAGTGGTGGGAACTGCTGTAGGAACTCTGAGGGGGTCATGGATGCCCTGGGGGGAGGGGCGGGGAGGAGAGGGGGTGCAGGGTGAGAGAGTGAGTGATGTTAGAGGGAGTGGGGTTGGGATCCAGCGAGAAGGAGGTTCACGTGCCACAATGAAGTGGGTGCCACGTGGAAGCGCGTTGAGGAAGGAGGTGCCACACCACATGGGCATGGGGCACGGGGCAAGGAGAAGGTTCCACGTGGGCATGGCATGGGGGCAAGGCGTGAAAGATGAGACAGCAGAATAAGCAGTCATCATGTTTTCAGAATGAGCAAAAGGAGGTCATGCTGGCTGCTCTCTCCCCTGTTGCTCTTGTGTGTGCTTCCTGTTCCGTTCCCACCCAGTCCAGCCGCACCTCTCCTCACTCCACTCAAAAACCTGCCCCAACCCGCACCCACCAGCCTTCCCCCCCCCACCCCCGCCTCCCCCCTACCCCTCCCCCTCCGCACTGACTTGTGGTAAGGTTTGGCGTCAAGGCAGTCGAGCCCCTCCTGTGCGCTCTGAGAGGACGCAAACTTCATGCGCGGGTACTGCACCAGGAACTGGTGGGGGGGGGGGGGGGGGGGTGGGGTGAGGAGAGCACCACGCACACCCAGGGCAGAGGGCAGAGGGCAGAGGGCGGGAATGAGCGCGTGTGAGCCCCTCGTGTGTGCTGCCAGACGACTCATACTTCATGCCCGGGTATTGCACCAGGTACACATGGGGGAGGGATGGGGGAGAGAGAGGATTCACACACACACACACACACACATGCACACACACACACACACGCACACACACACACACACACACACACACGCAGAGGGCAGAGGGCTTGAGGGAATGAGCAAGTGAGAGTGAGAGCCCCTCCGTGCGCTCACAGGCGACACACACACCACGCGTGGGGGGACGTGACAGAGAGGGGCAGATGGGAAACGAATATGGGAGGGCTTGAGACATGCTCGCCTTCACGAGGGAATGAGAGGGGACAACGTGAGATGAGGGAGTGCACCACTGTGAACCACTGTGAACCACTCACCGCAGTGGCTAGCGCCATGTAGGCGGGTCGGGGCAGCACGGAGGCAGCAGAGGAGGAGTCAAGCGCCGTGCCGCCCGCCCCCGCAGAGGAGAGCGGTGGAAACATGTCGGGCGTCACCACGAGGTCAGCCGTGCCCAGATGCATGTCCGTGATGTTGACATAGAAAAACGGGCTGATGTGCGTGGACAAGGAAGGGGGGGTGGGGGAGAGGAAGAATAGAAAAGGGTGAGGGGGGGGGATGGGTGCACCCCGCACATGAGCTTGTGCTTTTGCACTTGTACACACTTGCGTGGACTTAGGCTTGGGGGTCACACTCAATGAACGAGACCGTGCAAAAGCACACAGCCTCGCACTGCTGGCAGCACCACAAACCAGCCCTCACGTCACCCCAATGCGAGCTAACCCACCTGAGGCTGTTTTTGTAAACACGAGTGGAACCACTAGCAGGCCCGGCGTCCGTGGTCCCCAGCAGCAGGTGACTGCCCCCGCCAGCAGCAGCAGCATCGTTCCCCTCCAGGCACAAAGCGAAGCCCGCCCGCGGAACCACCCCACTCTCCGCCAGCTGCGAGAGCGGTGAGAGCAGCCCCGTGCCCAGCCCCAGCACGCCCCCTGGTGCGCCATTGTCCGTCGCCAGCACTCCTGTTTGATAGCGCCCACAGCTGGGGGAACGCGGGGGGAAGGTGGTGGGGAGCGGGGAGGGGAGGGGAGGGGCACGGGGGGGATGAGCGGGGAGCAGGGAGCGGGTGTGATGTTGAGCGGCCCCCCGCCCAGCCCCATCGCGCCCCCTGGGGCGCTGTTGTCCGCCGCCAGCACTCCTGTCTGGTGGCGCCCACAGCTGAGGAAGGGGGAGGGTGGGGTAGGGGGGGAAGAGCGGAGAGAAGAGAGTGTTGGGGACGGGGAGCGAAGTGCCCCCGCGGCCAGCCCCAGCACGCCCCCTGGGACACCGTTGTCCGTGGCCAGCACTCCTGATTGATAGCGCCCACAGCTGAGGGAGTCAGGGGGAAAGGGGAAAGAAGTGGGACGAGGGGTTGGAGAGAGAGAGACAGGTAAGAATGGGGAAGGAGGGGGAGACACGGCATTCACGAGTGTGACAAGCAGCGAAGCAAGTGCAAGCACACAAACATGTACACTAACATGAGGGGCACGCCGCAGAGTGCAGCACGCGTACCCGAAGGTGAGGTTGGGCGCCAGGAAGCTGCCGTCCTCGAGGGTGAGATGCACCTCGTCCCGCACCAGGTTGCCCGCCGAGCTGCCCTGGGGGGAGCTGCTCACGAGCGAGTACTGGCAGGTGGAGTCCGGTGTGGGTAGGTCCGAGGAGACGCTGCAGCCCACTGAGAGCGAGCGGTCGTCCGCCCACGCGGAGCACGTGGAGGAATCGCAGGGGATGGTGGCGAGCGTGGTGGACTCCGCTGGGTTGAATGGGGTTGGCTGGGGAACGGGGGGAGGGGGAAGGTGAATAAGGGGAAAAGGGGAAAGGATAGGGAACGTTGGGAGAGGGAGTGAGAGGCGTCGGACTGAGGAAGGTGGGGCGGGAAGGAGGACAGGGAGTGGGACAGGGAGGGGCGTGTGAGGCAAAGCAGAGTGAGGGAGTGTGGCGTGCATGTGTGTGCAGTGCAGTGCATGTGTGTGCAGTGCATGGGTAAGTGCACGTACGAGGCGACTAGGACCCACCCGCCCCTTCTCGCCTGTTGCACAGCACAGTGTGCGCTGTGGCAGAGCTCGCAGGTGTGGGGCGGAGGAAAGGCAGCGCGGGCAGGGAGGTTACCGTGGCAGCGGAGGAGGGCCCATCGGTGCAGCGCACGCAGTCGCACGGCAGCCACAGCAGGTCGGTGGCCGTGTCCACCACCACGCTGAACGCCTGCTGGGACGACCCCACTCGCACCTCCGTGTGGTACCTGCTGGGGGATGGGGGGAGGGGGAGGGCAGGGTAGTGGAGAAGCGCGGTGAGGAGAGGCCTATGCTGCCCTGCCCACTGCAGGTGGGATGCCGTGTCCACCATGTCATCATGCCATCATGCCATCATGCCATCATGCCATCATGCCATCATGCCATCATGCCATCATGCCATCATGCCATCATGCCATCATGCCATCATGCCATCATGCCATCATGCCATCATGCCATCATGCCATCATGCCATCATGCCATCATGCCATCATGCCATCATGCCATCATGCCATCATGCCATCATGCCATCATGCCATCATGCCATCATGCCATCATGCCATCATGCCATCATGCCATCATGCCATCATGCCATCATGCCATCATGCCATCATGCCACAGTCCTCACCTCACCACCCACCTGCCCTCGTTCGCATGCCTCCCCCTCTCCCTGTCGCCGTCTAAGCCCCTCCACGCGTCCATGTCTTTGCACCCAAGCCCTCCCGCCCATCCCCAGCCCTCCCGCCCATCCCCAGCCCTCCCGCCCATCCCCAGCCCTCCCGCCCATCCCCACCCGCACCACTTCCTCACCTCCCCCCTCCCCCCACCTGTCCGTGCTGCTGCGGGGCGGCGCGATGGTGACGTCAGCGCGTGAAACGGCAGCCCTAAACTCCGCGCTCACTGCGGGTTCGCGACTCGCCCCCACCGTCGTGTACATGGTCGTCTGGGGGAGGGGGGGTAAGGGGAAGGGAGGGGGAAAACGGGGGAAGGGGGAGTAGAGAGGGGGGAGAGGGGAGGGGGAGAGGGGGGGAGAGAGAGGGGGGGAGAGGGGGGGGAGAGGGTGTTTAAGGTTGGTAGATGAGGGGGGAGTAAGAGATGGAGGGGGCAAGTATGAAGGGGGAGGGGGAGATGGGGAAGTACGAGGTGGGGGGAAGGATGTGGGGAATGAGGGAAGGGGGGAAAGGGGGTCTCGACACACGTGGCTAGGAAGACAGAGCGAGCAGTTGGAAGATGGAAAGCCCTCATAACCATGTGTGCACAACGCCGCGTTACCACGTGCCGTGCCGCCTCAAGGCTCAAGCATCATTTCATGAGGAACGACGTGACAAAGGGCGGTGGTACGCGTGTTGGACTCACTCGCACGACTCACTCGCACGACTCACTCGTACGACTCACTCGCACGACTCACTCGCACGACTCACCCTTAGCAGCGCGCTGTCCCGCGCGTCGCCGTACTCGTAGCGGATCTCGTTCTTCAGCCCCACTCGCGGCAGCTCCGGCAGCCCCGCCGCCACCACCGCCGCGTCCTCCGCTGGTGCAGGCTGGCGCACGGGGGAAGGGGGAAAGAGGGGTGGTGGAGAAGAGGGGGGGGGGAGGGGGGGGCGAGAGGGAATGGGGAGAGGGGGGGAAAGTGAGGTGTTGAGAACCCCACTGCCGCTGCGCTCGAGGGCGCGACGCGCCGGGGGGCGGAGAGAGAGGCGGGGAGGAGTTGAGGAAGTGTCAATGGGAACGGGGGAGGAGGGAGGGGAGAAAGCGAGGGAGTAAGGGGGTAGCGGCGGGGAGCAGGCGGGAAGCGGAGGACTTGTTCCATTCCGCCAGAGCAATAACCGCCCGCACCTTCCCTCCCGCTCAACCCCGCAATCCAGCGCGCAGCGCGCAAGAAACGCATGCACCCCTTCCCCCACTCCCATCCCCGTCCCCGGCTCTACCCCAGCACTCCGCGCGCCACTTCCCCCTGCTTACCGCCACCCCCGCCCATCCCCGCCAGCCTCGGCGGCTCACCTCCGCTTGCGCCGCTGGCGCTCCTCGCGTGAGCACGAGGTGCACCGTCTCCGCCTCCGCCACTCCGCCCTTCGCCCACGGCGCGCGCCAGCCTTCCGCCGACTGTCCCCCTCCGCCCGTGTCGCTTCCGCCGCCGCTGCTGTCGGTGGATGGTTCGCTTGAATTCGATGACGTGTCACTGCCTGACGATGACGTGTCACTGCCTGACGAGGACTTGTCACTGCCTGACGATGACGTGTCATTGTGGGACGATGACTTGTCACTGCCTGACGATGATGTGTCACCGCTCGACGAGGACTTGTCACTGCCTGACGATGACGTGTCATTGTGTGACGATGACTTGTCACTGCCTGACGATGACGTGTCACTGCTTGACGATGACTTGTCACTGCCTGACGATGACGTGTCATTGTGTGATGATGACTTGTCACTGCCTGACGATGACGTGTCACCGCTCGACGAGGACTTGTCACTGCCTGACGATGACGTGTCACTGCCTGACGAGGACTTGTCACTGCCTGACGATGACGTGTCACCGCTCGATGAGGACTTGTGACTGCCTGATGATGACGTGTCATTGCTTGACGATGACTTGTCACTGCCTGACGATGATGTGTCACTGCTTGACGATGACTTGTCACTGCCTGACGATGACGTATCACCGCTCGACGATGTCTTGCCACTGCCTGACGATGACGTGTCACCGCTCGATGAGGACTTGTCACTGCTTGACGACGAACTGCTGCCCGATGAGCCTCCCTCCGACGTGGAATTTGATTTCTCACTGCCGCCCGCCGCCGATCCGATGCTTTTGTCACTGCCGCTACTGCTGCTGCTATTGCTCTTGTCACTGCCGCTACTGCTGCTGCTATTGCTCTTGTCACTGCTGCTACTGCTGCTACTCTTGCCTTTGCTGTCGCCCGCACTCGTCACATTCGTCGAAGAATCTTTGCTGCTCGTCGCCAGCGTCGCCGACACTTCGCTCGGCCCGGAGGACTGTCGCAGGCGGAAGGGAGCGGGAGGGAGGGGAGGGAATGGCGGGAGAAAAAGGGATAAAGGGACGGGAAACGAGAAGGTTCGGGGACGTTGCGTAAGGGAGCGTGGCGGATTCACGTCGAGTACGAGGAGACGCAATATCGAGGATGGATACCGTCGGGGACAACAGGAGAGAGTGCGAGTGAGGGAGGGGAGGGCCGACACGCGACAGCGACAGAAGGGGACGAGCGGACGGAACAGGGAAACGGGGGAATGGGACGGGGGCGCTGGGGGAGGCGGAAGGGCGGAAGAGAGCTGGAGAAGAGGAGGGGCGGGCGAGGAAAGTGAGAAAGAGTGTTGGGGAGAGCGGAAGGGGGAGAGGAGGAGTAACGGGAGACCGACTGGGACGTGACGAAACGAGAGGAGGAGAGGCGGCGTCGCCGGAATGGGAGTCGGCGAAAATCCTTCGTTTTGCTTCTGACGCCTGTAACGTGTCGAAATCACGAGGTGAGCACGTGGTGAGCACGAGCGCTTCCCGACTACGCGTTCCGAAACCTTCGCAACATCAGCGCGGGACTCTAGCTTCATGGGACGACCCTGGGGAATCCCGGACTTGCGAGGCGAATTCGGTTTCAAGAGGCGAATTCAGGTCTAGCATGCGAATCCTGCGCTAATTTACTAACCTGGATGAAGGAGGGGAAGAAGGGGAAGTAGGCTCGCGTGGCACCCACGAGCAGCGCGGAGCGGCGAGCGCGCGCGGGAGCATCACGGGCTGGCGCGAGTGGTCCTGCCGGGGGCGGTAGGGGCGAGTGGCCGCACGAGAGCAGCGCGAGCAGCAGCAGCGCGGGGCGCAGCAGCCGCAGCTGCCGTTCCGCCACGTGCTGCGCGCACCGCCTGCCGCATCTGTCGCCGCCTAATCTGCTTCGTTGCCGCGAGTCGTCGACCCTACTAGTACCTAACGGTCTATTCCGCTCCGGGGACGGCCATTCGCTGCTTCTACGCTGGCCGCTTTCGGCGCTCGGCGCTCGAGACTGAGCTCGCGGCTCGTTCTCGCCGCCGCTACTGCTGGCGCACCGCGCGCTCGCGACGCGTTCGGCGCCGCTACAGCCGTTACCTATCGCGCTCCCTATCGCGATATCTACCGCGGCACCTGTAGCGCCATCTGTGCTAAAGCCGCTCCGCCGAGTCGCAGCCGGCCCTGCCGCGCCCATGCCGTCACGCTCATCAGCGCCCCCCGTGTTAGAATCGCGGCCGCCGCACTGCGCGCCGTCGCTGGACACGCGTAGGCCACGTGGCCGCATCATCGTTTTTGATGTGAACAGCGTGCCCCACTCGATCCAGCCACGTGGATCCTGCTAGGTTGGCCGCCCTCTCTCTAGTCTTAGTTATCGCTGATAGCTAGTCGCCTGTCGGTACTTGCTGTATTCAAAATCGAGACCTTAGTCGACGCTAGAGTTAAGATGCATCACGTCCAGCCGCGGCGCGTTGAGCTGCGGCTTGCTGGCGCGAATCGGAGAAGTTAGTGTACAGTACTAATCAGTAACCAATAGCTAATCGTTGCTGTGGTTAGGATTCGCCGCGAGTGTGGCAACCCGGAGATACACCTGTTCTCCGGTATTTCCACACCCCCTACCCTCGTTTTTGCCAGACACCCTTTACGACTTGAGGATCGATGAGACGGACACCCTGACACTACGGGTCTATCAGTAAAGAGCCGTCAGGTTCTGGCCATTCGAAACTCTAATTTGTAATCAGGGTGAGCGGGGAAAATTCCCAGTGCCATAATGTTAGAGTGTTAAACTCGCATTGAGGTCGTGTCTTATTACCTTCGAAACTCCCGCGTTCGTTTCTAACTACCTTTGAAATCAGATTTTTACGAGGGTAGGTACCCCAGGGCGTGAAGATAGGGGGTGTGGAAATACCGGAGAACAGGTGTAGCACCTGACGGGTGGATTAAGCCCCGCGCAAGTGGACCAGAAAGCGGTGCAGCACGCGCCGTTGTGGGGAGGGGGGGGGGGGCGCTGAGATACGGGGGTGCGCAAGCTCACACCCTTGAGATGGGATGGGAGATGCAGGCTTTGCTCAAGTGCTTCTGCTCTGCTCCTGCTGCTCTCTGCTCCGGTCCAATGCATTCCGTCAGCGCAACTGTACGGCTTCGGCCATAGAAGTCATCCCTGCCCTCCCCAAGCCAACTATTTGGGTGGCTGGGCGCAAGCTCCTGTTTTGCGGCGCGCTGGGATGGAATTATGCCACTTCAGTGTGAGTTCATGGGCATTCCATTTCCATGGGCTCTACCTCCCCACGCACACACTCCCAGTTGTTTGGTCCTGGCTGGTAACCGCAGCTGCAAGGGCGAGCTTCGCTGCGTGTGCTAGCGAAGCGCTCAGCAGCATGGAGAGAACACAGCGCAAGTTCCAGATAGTTCCGCCCAGGCGCGGGCTGCGCGCCGGGTGGGTGTTTGAGGGGAGCTGTTGAACCACCCGACTACCGCCGTTGTTGCCCTAGCTGGTCCCAGGTTGTTTTTTACGAGCCGCAGGGTTCTCACGAAGGCCATGCTGGGCAAGAAGGCAACCATGCTTTGACTGGCATGGGCGTCGCATCGCAGGGCTGTTCGCCGCACTCCGATTTTGGTGGACCGTAGCGACCACTGTCGGTTGCTTGAAAAATGACCTGTACAGGGTTTTTCTCAGACATCCTCAGTGCAGCAGCATGAGAACACAGGTTACCAGTTCGAACATAAAACAATAAAGTATTTAAAACTTATGCTGGATAGAATCCGTGACCATGAACAATCTACTACCAGAGGTGTATTCCAATATGGAAACCAAACTAATACTGGTGGTTTACATTAACGCGTATCCCTCCAATTCCCATCCTCATTTCCCGATGTTTTCCTCTGGGAATCCGTCCCCAGTCACCTGATCTTTGCTCCCCGCGCTTAGTTCCGTCCACAGCCAGAAACAGCAGGATGTCTTCTCGCGTCGCGCCCCTACCGCTGCATTCTGGCTTAAAGCCCAAGTTATTTCCGCCATGGGCCGGAGATCGCGGTAAGTCTACTTCCCCCCCGAAAAATCATCCGCAACAAGTAACGGCTGCAAGGCGTCACCCGTCATTTGACGTCTGGTGTAACCTCGTCAAAAATCCCCCCCTCATCAATCCTCCATTCTTCCCTCGCCAGCCAGCTTTTACACTAGACCGTTGTCCCCTGAGGTTTCAATGCCTTACCTGCAAGGCATGGCAGGGCAGGGCAATGCCACAGAGCCCACCTCCAACATCCGATCCATAAGATTGCCACGATGGCACTCTCGCCTTCTCATTGCCGTCTCATCTCCTTGAGTGCTGCCGCCTTGCATGCAGCGCAGGCAGCGAGGCCGCCGGCAGGGATCAGCTTCGGACGCGCTCGTCTCCCATGCAACGCGCGCGTGAAGCGCGCGGGGCGCGCGGGCGGCTCAAGGCGAGGATAAACGGTGCTCCGCGCACCTGCTTCAGCGCACGCGCGGCTGATTCGTCCTGCGGTTGCAGCACTGGAGGCAGTCCGGTGGCAGCTGCTGCTGCGGATGTGACAGCAGCGGGGGGAACAGCTGGGTGTGACAGTATCGAGCGAATCGCAGAGCTGATTCGCCGCACGCACGCACCTGAGCGCGATGCGCGTGGCAGCGCAGGACACGAGGAGGGCGCAGCAGAGAGGGGGAGTACGGCGGTGGACGAGGGGCATGGGAATGGGCCACTGCAGTCACTGGAGGCGGGGCGGTGGGTGAAGCTCATCTGCGGGGCCAGCTTCGAGGTGAGCCGCGGATTGGTGTTGGTGGTGGTAGTGAGGTGCCAAGTGAGTCCACTCAGCACGAGGGGCAGGGGGGGCGTAACCGTTTCAGCCACTGTGGGCAGGGCGGTGGGTGAGCCTCATCTGTGGGACCAGCTTCGAGGTGAGCTGAGCCTGCTGTATTTGCTCGCTCATGGATTCACTTTTGAAAGTTCTCTTTTGGGATTCTCAAGAGGTCATGGCGGCAACTGGCCCTCCCTCTCTCCCCGTTTCTCTCTCCACGCCCCACCTGTGCGTGCGCAACCTTGCATCCGCCAACACAACACAACACACTCGCAGGCTGACCTTCAAGTCGACTCAAATCACTCGTGCTCGTCACAGCCCTGTGTGCTGTGCGCGCTTCTCTGTGCTCTTCTCTCCTTTCCTCAGCCTCCCTCACGTGTCTCCCCCCCACGCCCCCACCACACCAGGACGTGGCAGATGTGCGCAACCTCGCATTTATCTACACCCTCGCAGGCGGTGCGTGCAAGGCTGGGGTGCATGCATGTATGCATGCATGGGGATGGTGGAATGCCTGAGTACATGCTCATGAGATATGGTGGGTTTCTGATGAGATAGATGGCAAGGCATGATGCTCATAGTTCATTGTCGCCTTGCCTCCTCAACACCATGGGTGCTTGGCAATGCTTGGCATCGGCTTTGCAGCAGTGACAGCAGTTGCTGTGAAGCGGTGGCAGCAACCCCCCTCACTCACTCACTCGCTCGCTCACTCACTGACTCATTCGCTCTCTTACTCACTCACTCACTCAGTCGCTCACTCACTCACCACACTCATCGTCCTCCCGCCCCCTGTATCCCGCCCTCATCTCGCCATCTTCCCCTCCCCTCACCCTCAACCCATCTCCCTTCCCCCCAGTGGACTGCATCGACTGTGCGGCAGATCCAGCAGTGGTGGCGGCAGCAAGGGACGGCATCAGTGCCGCCATGGCCTGGGCTGCACGCACCCTCAGGGATGGGCCCGTGTATGGGGTGGAGGCGGCAGCAGCCCAGAGGGACGGGCGCGTGGGGGAAGCAGCAGGGGAGCTGAGGGGTGGGGGGGTGGGGGAGGATGCAGGGGAGGGGCTGGGGGACGGCAGGGTTGGAGGGGGGGATGTGGAGGGGGGCAGGCGGCCGTGGGTGATGGTGAGTGTGAGCGATGGGCGGGACCCGCACTTCCGCAAAGCAGGTGGGCGCTCCAACCAGGCAGAAGGTAGTGCAGTGACGCGAAGATGCCTAGGTGCACTGTGCAGAGATGCAGAGGGATGCAGAGGAGTGGGGGTCTTCGCATGTTGCTCCATGCGGCTGCGAGAGTGCAGCTAAGACCGCACAGTGTCTTTGGCTCACCTCTCCCACCCACCACACCTCAACACACCTCAACACACCTCACCACACCTCAACACACCTCACCACACCTCAACACACCTCACCACACCTCAACACACCTCAACACACCTCAACACACCTCACCACACCTCAACACACCTCACCACACCTCAACACACCTCACCACACCTCAACACACCTCACCACACCTCAACACACCTCACCACACCTCAACACACCTCACCACACCTCACACACACTGAACTTCGGCATTGCATTCCAAACGCTAACGCCATGCACTGCACCTTGTTTCACCTGTACCTTTCCCCTCTGCTCTGCTCCGCACACATTCACCTCTCCTTGCCTCCCTCCCTCCCTCCCTCCCTCCCTCCCTCCCTCCCTCCCTCTCTCCCCCCCCCTCCCTCCCTCCTCCCTCCCTCCCTCCGTCCCTCCCTCTCTCCCTCCCTCCCATTGCGCGCGTCCCCACCACACCAGTATTCGACGCCTCTCTCTGTCCACCCACCTGCCCTCGGCCCTGCGAGCGAGTCTGCCCGGCCGCGGCCATTCGCTTTCCATCGCCTGCCACCCATGCCGCCCTCACTGCTGCTGCATCCACCCTGCCCACAAGCAGTGGCAGCAGCAGCGCCATCAGTGGCAGCAACGGCGTTGCTAGCAGTAGCAGCAGCAGCAGCAGCAGCTGCAGGGGTGATAGCAGAGCGGTGCTACGGCTGTGGGCGGTGCATCCCTGTGTGCCCCCTGGGCCTCATCTGTGCGTCACTCCTGCCCTGCTCTTCCCTCCCCTGCCCTGCCCTGCCCTGGCCTGCCCTGCCCTGCCCTGCCCTGCCCTGCCCTGCCCTGCCCTGCCCTGCCCTGCCCTGCCCTGCCCTGCCCTGCCCTGCCCTGCCCTGCCCTGCCCTGCCCTGCCCTGCCCTGCCCTGCCCTGCCCTGCCCTGCCCTGCCCTGCCCTGCCCTGCCCTGCCCTGCCCTGCCCTGCCCTGCCCTGCCCTGCCCTGTCTCATCTGGTGCCGTGTCTCCATTGTTCCTCAGGCGCACTGCATTGCAGCATGGCACGCTGCATCGGGCAGTGTCATGTCATCGATGCCACACCTCCCCTTGAATCACAACAGCCTCACCAACTGCTCTCACTCTCTCATCCATTCTCCTCCTCCTCCCTTCTCTCTGCCCTTTCCCTTCCTACCTGCCCCCCCTCATGTGTGTGTCTCTCGCCTTCTCCCCCCCTTGCCCCCATCAGCGGCGGAGGAGCACCAGCGAACAGAGCAGGACACGTTGGCACTCTTGAGAAGCGGGCTGGTAGATGCCATCGAAATACACACTCTCCCAGGGTAAATTACCCTGTTCAGCCCAGTAATTTGACGTGCCCCATCAGGCCGACTACCTTGTCGATTGGAGCAGCCGGCATCTGTTTCCCCCAATTCTCCCCTCACCTCACACGGCTGTTTGCCTGCTCCATCAAGTAGTGATGTATCCCATTGCACTCATCCTAATGCATCCTTCCACGCCATCCAATCACGTGCAGCCACGTGGACGAGTTCAACGCCTTGTGGGCATCCATCGGTGAAGCAGCTGGCGCTCTCAAGCTCGTTGCCGTGAGTTCTTGGCCCACTTCCCAACACCTGTTTCTCACACAAATCTCCAGAATTTCTCAGCCCTGGTCCTGCTTCGCTTCTCTCTTTGCACGAGCTTCCGTTTCAGACAGACACATGCTCTGTCCTGCCTCTCTCCCCTCCCGTTCATCTCATTCCCACTGCCGCTCACTCTTTTCTCCTTCTCCACTTACAAGTATCTTCACTCCGCTCTCCCGCTCTCCCATGCCTACGGCATCTTGCCTCTCTCCTCTCTCCCTCCCTCTCATCGCTTCCTTGTTCTTTCGTTTCTCCTCCTCCTCCCCATGTCCATACAGTTGACTTGGCCAGACCTAGTACACACCCCATGCAATTTACACTCACCACACCACACCACACCACACCACGCCTTCCTCTTTCTGTCCCTCCCATTATTCCATCCCACCTTTCCCGCGTTCCTTCGTCCCCCATCCCCACACACCTCCCCCCATGAGCATGCAGGTGAGTCTGCCAGACCTGGGGGACAGCATGCCGGCTGCCATGCATGCCATGCACCGCACCATGCTGCCACACCTCACTGCTGCTAACCTCTGGCAGGTACTGTATGGCACCCTTCGCCTTGTCTCTTGAGGCACCTCAATGGCACGCCATGCACCGACACCTTTCCGCCACACCTTTCCGCCACACCTTTCCGCCACACCTTTCCGCCACACCTTTCCGCCACACCTTTCCGCCACACCTTTCCGCCACACCTTTCCGCCACACCTTTCCGCCACACCTTTCCGCCACACCTTTCCACACCTTTCCGCCTCTGGAAGGTACTGTATGACGCTCCATGCCTCAGAAGCATGCCATGCACCGCACCATGCATGCCATGCACCGCACCATGCATGCCATGCACCGCACCATGCATGCAATGCACCGCACCATGCATGCAATGCACCGCACCATGCATGCCATGCACCGCACCATGCATGCCATGCACCGCACAATGGTCTTGTGGCACTGCTTCTGGGCTCCTTTTGCTTACTCCTGCCAATGACCTCACATTCTCCTCCCCCTTCTTTGTTTCTCCCTCCTTCCCATTCCTCTCCCTTTTCTTCTCCCTTTTCCTTTCCGCTCCCCCTTTTTCCCTCTGTCTCCCCTCTTCCTCTTCCACTCTCCCACTCCCCTTTCACTCTCCCCATTTCCGTATCCCCCTCCCCTTCATGCCATTCCTCTCCACCCGCTTCTCTCCATTCCTCCCCCAGTTGGATGGTCGGCCCATGAGTGGGGACATAGGTGCCGGAGCCACACGTGCCGCAATCCGATTGGCTGCCCGAGTGGCTGCAATCCATGACAGGCCGCCAGGTGATGTGGCCGCCAGGTGATGTGGCCGCCAGGTGATGCCATGAGGCTTACAGAAATAGGAGAGTGCCGATTGCCCATGGCATGTGTCTTGGTGAAGGAGGGAAATTTATCTCGTGTGGCATGGCATGGCATGGCATGGCATGGCAGGGAGTGAGACTGTTGCTTCTCAGAAGCTAGGCATTTGCTTTCATCATTCTGCAGCTTTTTTCACTCTCTGTCATCATTTTGCCCTCTCACTCCTGTCATTCTATTCTGTTCTTTTCTCTCCTCACTCCACCTCCCCTCCTTTCTCGCCCTCCGTGTTACCAGGTTACTTGCAGATAGCAGGTGGGACCAACAGTCACACTTTCACCGCGTTACAACAACAAGGGCTGCTGCCTGCTTCCGCTTCTGGTGAGTGTGTGTCACCCCATGTTGCTGCTGATGCTGATGCTGCTGCTCCCATTGTTGGCGCCGTTACTGCCACTGTAGTTGCCACGTGCGCACTTTGAATCGCCTTGAAGTCATTCCAGTTGAGTGAACCACCTGAGCACATCAATTCCCAAGTGTGCGAGTGCACTGCTGCAACCACCTGTTCATGCGCACTGGGGATTCGCATAACTCCTCTGGTGTGTCAAACACTCATCCCCATGTGCTCCCATGTCTCAATGCCTCTCAGATCCTGAGCGCAAATTTGCAGGTGTGGCGTTCGGCGGGCATGCACGCAAGGTGCGTACGTGCTCTCATACGCAGGCCATCTGTAACAAGGCCGTGGTTCCTGATTGAATGCTTCTTCCTGTTTCCTGTTTCCTGTGGACCCAAGCTGGCTTGCTTTCCCTCTCTCTCTCTCGAGACCCTTATGCATCTTGCTCACACACAGGAAATTTTCATTCAACATCGTAATCCCCTGCACATCCATCCATGGAATCACTTTTCACATCTCATGTCAGATCCTGGCTCCAGTCCTAGCCCATCTTGAAGCCGCCGTGCCAACCAGTGAAACCACGGCTGCTGCAGCCGCACCAGCCATCGCCACATCAATGTGTCCCTCGCACATTGAGAGCCACCCGCCTCTTCTGCTACAGGCACTGGACCTCGCATGTGCCCTGGTTCATCCGTACAAGCTGCATTCTCTGACATAGTAGTGTTTGCTTCTAGAGCATTTCCACTCCTGGCCAACCAGTGCAATCGACGGTGCTGCAGAAGTTGAGTGGACGTCAGTCAACGTCGCCTCGCCAACCAGGGGAGGGGAGTGCAGTTGGCCGCCAATGTCCCAGAACATTCAGATGCTGTGGTATTTCACCTCACCTCGTAGCTTGGTTGCTGCAGTCTTCTGTACAGTATTTTGTTTGCCAGTCATTTTTCCAGATAAAAAATCCTTCAAGCTAGAACAAACACAATATGTGAATGCGAGAATGAGGCCTAGCGGTTTGAGCATATCACCTCAACACCTCCCACCCAGATCCTCGCAACAAGTTCCTTCTTTGTTGCTTTTGATATTTTACTTCTCTTCCACAAGCACGTTCTCTCTCAAATAAAGCACCCAGCAGTAAGAGCTTTGCTTTAAGGCCATTGCTGGGCTGCCTCAAACCGAGGACTAAGACGCTGCGATCAAAGGAAGAGCAGAGCAGAAGCCACCACATTCTTTTCATGGCCGGGCCGGCCTCACAGAGCTGGTTACCACACACGGTGACATGGTCAGCCGAGCCATCAAAGCGCCCAGAAGCTGGTTACCAAACATGGTGGCAGTGGTCATCCAAGCACCTGCAGTTCACATGGACGAGAGAGGAGGGAGGGGTGATGCACGCGGGACACGTATACAGGCAAGCAGGCGGAGCAGCACGGGTGCGCATGAGAGGGGGGAAGGGCAGGGAGCGAGTCACATCACATCACATGGTGGCAGGGAGCGAGTCACATCACATCACATGGTGGCAGGGAGCGAGTCACATCACATCACATGGTGGCAGGGAGCGAGTCACATCACATCACATGGTGGCAGGACGTAGGAGATGGGCCAACCCCAGTAGACAGCTAGCTATTGGTGACTCAGACAGCACAAGCATGGGATGGAGGCTGAAGCTTGTGTGAGAGCATAACGCAGAACGCACTCACTGCATCATTCTGTCCACTGTGCCGTTCCGACCTACTCCACTATAGCCAAACTAAAACGGTCCTTTGTGTTGATGCCACAGCAGGTACAAGCAGGCGGAACAATCAGGAAGCTTGCATGTATGCACTCCCCATCCCTTCACCTTTTCCCCCTCCTCCCCCCCCCCCCCCCCCCCCCCACAACCTCCCCCCTCCCTCTCCCTCACACACACCGATCGCCCTCTCCCATGCTCACCTTCCCCGCCACAATCCCCTCTCTCTCATCTTCCCCGCCACAATCCCCTCTCTCTCACCTTCCCCAGCACGCCTCTGGACATGAGTCGCCCGTCCTCCTGCTGCTGCCCCTCGTCTATCGCCCCCCGCTGCAAGTAGTGCCGCACCCGCTGCTGCCCTCCCTGCTGCTGCTGCGCTGCCCCCTCCCCTCCCTCCGCCCCTGCTGCTGGCTTGGCCTGGGGAAGAGAGTAGGGAGAGGGAGAGAGGAAGAAGACGGAAGAGGGGTTTACGGAGGAAAGCGATGGGGGAGAAGGGCTTCGGAATGGCAAACGGATATTCTTAGGAAGGGCGAAGTTAAGCCTGCTAAGACTTGGAAGGAAGGCTGAAAGAGTGGGCATGACGTGAATTCACATGTAGGCATGTGTGGACAGCATCTGTGGAAGCTCCAACACATGGAAGCTCCAACACATGGAAGCTCCAACACATGGAATCTCCAACACATGGAAGCTCCAACACATGGAATCTCCAACACATGGAAGCTCCAACACATGGAATCTCCAACACATGGAAGCTCCAACACATGGAATCTCCAACACATGGAAGCTCCAACACATGGAAGCTCCAACACATGGAATCAGTCGAACGCCTTCTCTCCTCTCACTCACATGTACACGCAGCCCCACTCGCGCACACGCACGCCCACAAGCGCGCACACACACACGCGCGCACAAGCGCACACACACACACGCCCACTTAAGCACGCGTGCACACACACACACGCACCACGCACGCACTCACGCACGCACGCACGCACGCACACACACACACACACACACACACACACACACACACACACACACAGAGAAGAGAGACAGACACAGACACAGAGACACACAGAGACACAGAGACACACACAGGCAGGCACGCACGCACGCACACACACACACACACACACACACACTCACACACACACACACCTTCTTTGCAGCCTTGGCCTGGCGGCGCTGCAGCACCTTGCTGTGCTGCACGCGCGTCACATACGCGTCCCTCTCCTTGGCAGCCACCCGCATCTCCGCCTCCAGCTTCTGCTCCCTCACCGCCCGCCGGTAGGCTGTGTGGGGAATGGGGGGGGGGGGGGGGGGAGGAGGGGGCGGAGCAGGGAATGAAAGGGAGTATAGAGGGAAGCGAGGGTGAGAATGGACAATGAGGTGCCACCCGCATCTCCGCCTCCTGCTTCTGCTCCCTCACCGCTCGCCGGTAGGCTGGGGGAGCATGCGAGGGAAGAGGGAGGAGCATGCGAGGGAAGAGGGAGGAGCATGCGAGGGAAGAGGGGGAATAAAAGTGAAGTGAGGGAAGGAATGTGCGGTAGACTATAAGATGCACTCGCCGCGCCGCTACCCTCATCTCCACCTTTCTCGCCACCCGCCGGTACGCTCTGTGGGAGAGGGGAAGGGATGGGAGGGGGGAATGGGGATGGGAAGGAGGAGGAGGATGGAAAGTGGAAGGACAGATCGGAGGGGCGAGGTGGGATGGGAGTTGGGGGGGCGGAGTGGAAGCGTGGGGTGGGATGGGATGGGGGATGGGAAGCGAAAAGCACGCGAACCTAATGAGTGGCAAGGCAGCACGCCTCCTTTATTCGCTCTGCCTGACATATCCCTCACCACACGTGCCTTGCATTTCCACTTGTTCTCTGTGTCAGGAGTTAAGCTTAGAATGGATACATTAGTAATGAGCTTGAGGCTCTTTAAGTACATCCAAGATGGGCAAGCAATGGATGGGGAGGGGAATTGGGGGCAATCTCTAGGGATTGGGGGTAATCCCAAGGCAATCTCCAATTGGTGGGTTGGAGATTGCTTGGAGATCACATTTGGGTTTGGTTGGGATGTAGGTGTACACCCAACCAAACACAAAGTGCAAACTACACTACGCTAGGATATAAAAAGTGCAAAATACAAAGTGTGAGATTGAGGGCTAACACTAACACTCGGCCCTCACCACATGTGCCTTGGAGTGGCGATGCTTCAGGTGCTTGATGGTATGTGAAGTCAGCATGTTCCTTGCATGGCAGCCATGCTCCCCCGCTGCACTCACCCTAGTCTCCCACCCATCCACCCATCAACTCACCCATCTCCTCGCTCAGGTTGTCCCACGTGAAGCGCTTGAGATACTTGATAGTGCACAGGTCAGCACCTCTCTCACAAACCACGCCCCGCATGCCTGCCTGCCCTTCTCCCCGCCACTCACCTCAACCTTCCCTCAGCCTCTCATCCGCCCTTGCACCGCACTGCACCGCACTGCACTCACCCATCTCCTCGCTGAGGTTGTCCCACTTGAAGCGCTTGAGATACTTGATGGTCCACAGGTCAAACCGGTGGTGCGAGCGATTCTTGCCGCCTGGGAAAATGCGAAAGGGGGGGAGTTTGAAGGGTATTTTTGAGACGTCTCGAAAACGCGAAAGGGGGGGAGTTGGAAGGGTGTGGAAGGAGAAAAGAAGAGGACGAAAAGCCAGAGCTCAAGTCAACGCAGTTGTGTGAGCGGTTCTCGCCGCAAAAGGCCAAAAAGAAAGGCGGAAGAGGGGGTTGGTAGGTTGGGGGAAATATATGAAGTAAACGAAAGACCACAAGCCAAAACAGAGGTGCGAGCAATCTTGCCACTTCAAAGCAAGAGCAACAGCAGAAGGAAAGGGGCGGAACACGGGTGGAGAATGTATGAGAAGGTGGGGAGGGAGGGGGGGAGCATTCTCAAAGGCAGAGGCGAAAACACAAGTGAAGGGGAGGGAGGGAAAGAGGGTAACCAGGCGATTCTTGCTGCCTGGAAAGAGGGTGGTTGCGGGGAAGGGGAGGGGTCGGGGGTTCAAGACAGAAGTGGGCATTACACAAGGGAGAGAAAGGAACACTACAGATCAAAGCTGTGGTGTGAACAGTTTAAGGTTTCAAGTTTAGGGTAGAACCAGGCCCCATGAGGGAAGGACAGAACGGGTGCTCGGGTTGGGACGGAAGAGAAGGGGGGTTGGGACGGAAGAGAAGGGGGGTTGAGAAGGGGAGGGAGTTGGGAGCCAGGCATGGGGGAGGAGCGGAACCGGTGATTAGTGGACAAAGGGCGCGGGGAGGAGAGAAGTTGACAGAGAGGATTCTGGGAAGGAAACAGGAAGCAAGAAGTCGAGGATGGAAACAAACGGGAGGAGAAAGAACGAGGTACGAGGCACTAGAGAGGAGCGGAGGAGGAGGAGAGAGCTTATGTATGGAGACAGACAGACCACGAATCCGAGTGAGCGAGAAGAGGTGGTCAACGTGAAGAGAAGAGCAGCAGAGAGGGATATGCTAAAGCCTAAAGCAAGCAGAGTGGCGCCTGTGTTGAGTAAGAGGGAGGGGGGACAGAGAGGGACACACCCATGGTTGTGAGAGAGAGCGCAGAGAGGGACACACCCATGGTTGTGAGAGAGAGCGCAGAGAGGGACACACCCATGGTTGTGAGAGAGGGGGGACAGAGAGGGGCACACCCATGGTTGTGAGAGAGGGGGACAGAGAGGGGCACACCCATGGTTGTGAGAGAGAGAGCGCAGAGAGGCACGCACGCACCCATGGGCTGGCCGTTGAGCAGCGCTGCCACTCGCTTGGCGTCCCTCTTGCGTGCAAACTCCACCCACCTGCCCGCCCACGCGGTCACACATGCCATGGGTGCAGGCAGGGAACAAGGAAGTTGGGTGTGTTAGGGTTGGGGGGCGAAAGGAAAGCGGGAACAACAGCCCGGAAGCGTGAGAGAAGAGCAGCAATGCAGCCTAAGAGAGGGTAGCGACAGGGCAGAGAGAGGGCAGCGAGAGGGATACGGGGAAGCTCCAGGCTGAAGCCTGGAGCTTTTGAATTCTGGTGAATGCTTTTGAGCAGCTCTCCACGTGGCAATCTTTCTTGAAATTGTGACGGCGAGGCACCGAGGGAAGAGACCAAGATATTGGCTTGACAATCTCGGTAACCCCTTCTCCTCCATCGCAAGCAACTCAAAAACACCTTTCCCCACCCATCAACTCGTAAACCCTCAACCCTGCCTGTTTAGCAACAAGCCTACCCTACTCTTCTGGCCCGGAAATCCAATCTGCAACCAGGACCCACCCACCCTTCTGTGAAGTTTTTGTTCCGACTGCCCCCCGCTGCCCGCCGCCGCTGGCGCGCTGCTGGGTCTGCCAAGGAGAGGGGAGCAGAGCAGCAGGCAAACAGAGGGAGGTGAGAGGGGAGGGGAGAGGGGAGGGAATGTGGGGAGGAGAGAAAGGTGAGATGGTGGACATTGAGGTTTCCAAACCACCTCGCCGCTGGCGCGCTGCTGGGTCTGCCAAGGCGAGGGGAGCAGGGGGCGAGCAGAAGGGGAGCAGGGGGCGAGCAGAAGGGGAGCAGCGGGCGAGCAGAAGGGGAGCAGGGGGCGAGCAGAAGGGGAGCAGCGGGCGAGCAGAAGGGGAGCAGCGGGCGAGCAGAAGGGGAGCAGCGGGCGAGCAGAAGGGGAGCAGCGGGCGAGCAGAAGGGGAGCAGCGGGCGAGCAGAAGGGGAGCAGCGGGCGAGCAGAAGGGGAGCAGCGGGCGAGCAGAAGGGGAGCAGCGGGCGAGCAGAAGGGGAGCAGCGGGCGAGCAGAAGGGGAGCAGCGGGCGAGCAGAAGGGGAGCAGCGGGCGAGCAGAAGGGGAGCAGCGGGCGAGCAGAAGGGGAGCAGCGGGCGAGCAGAAGGGGAGCAGCGGGCGAGCAGAAGGGGAGCAGCGGGCGAGCAGAAGGGGAGCAGCGGGCGAGCAGAAGGGGAGCAGCGGGCGAGCAGAAGGGGAGCAGCGGGCGAGCAGAAGGGGAGCAGCGGGCGAGCAGAAGGGGAGCAGCGGGCGAGCAGAAGGGGAGCAGCGGGCGAGCAGAAGGGGAGCAGCGGGCGAGCAGAAGGGGAGCAGCGGGCGAGCAGAAGGGGAGCAGCGGGCGAGCAGAAGGGGAGCAGCGGGCGAGCAGAAGGGGAGCAGCGGGCGAGCAGAAGGGGAGCAGCGGGCGAGCAGAAGGGGAGCAGCGGGCGAGCAGAAGGGGAGCAGCGGGCGAGCAGAAGGGGAGCAGCGGGCGAGCAGAAGGGGAGCAGCGGGCGAGCAGAAGGGGAGCAGCGGGCGAGCAGAAGGGGAGCAGCGGGCGAGCAGAGGGGTGGTAAGAGGGGGAAGAAGGGGTTTGCGACGGAGAGGAGGTGAGAGGTTGGGGATAGAAGTTTCAAAACCCGAAATCCTCAACCCTGACGAAAATTTGACGCAGGGGTTTTTGCGGAGTGATGGAGGCGCGAGGTAGACTTAACAATGGTAGATGTTTCGGGGAGCAGCGACTGGACGTAGGTTTAGGTGTGCGAGGAAGGAAGAGGACGAGTATGCTAGTGGGATGTCCAAGGGTCCACGGGTGGTGGGAGGTGCATGCTGGTACTAGAGCACAGCACATTGCAGGGTTTCGATTGCACTGGTGCAAGGAGGAAGCACCAGTGATGGTGTGCTGAATTAGAAACCCAAACCCCCTTCACATCAATTTTAATCGGATGCAAAATCGACGGAGGTGCCTTAAACAGTTACACCGTGAACCTATGTGCCGTAAGCGTCCATGCCGTGCTACTCCGCAGTGGCCGTTCACGCGTCAGGTTCAGGTTCAGGACCCAGGGGAATCATGTGAGTCGACTCAAAAGATCAGGGCACAGGTGAATCACGGAACCGCGAACCTTAAAGTGGGAAGGAGGCGCTTCAAGGGGCGGGTGTACCTTCAGGTGCCAGGTATATCCGAAGGATTTCCGCGTGCGGGGACAGCAGGTGACGCAGCTTCAAGGGTTTCATGCGAGGGGGTATTCTCGAAAGGTAACACACGCCAGTCTTGTGTCGCTTCTTCCCTTTCGGCAATTTCGCCTGCTTTCTCTTCCCGCCCTCCCCCTGCTCTTCCCCCCCATCCTCCTCCCCTTTCCGCCGCTTCCGCCCGCTCCGAAGCCCATTCTCTGCGCCCATCGTGCCGCCGTCTCCGTCGCTTCCGCTTCGTTCCGCATCGCCCTCGTCACTATCACTCTCGCTATAATCACTCCGCCCTTCAGTGGCGCCTTCATTCGTTCGTAGCCGATCCAACCCACGCGCACCCGCTGCCGCTGCATCCCCCTCCTCGCTTTCCTCCCCCTCCTCTCCTTCCTCCCCCTCCCCGTTATCCTCCCCCTCCTCTCCTTCCTCCCCATCCTCGTTATCCTCCCCTTCCTCCTCCTCCTTCCTTTCCTCCCCTTCGTCCCCTCCCTCTCCTTCCTCCTTTTCCTCCTCTCGCTCCTCTAATTCCTCCTCTGGTCCATCGCCAACCAACTCTTCCTCGTCGCTCTCCATGTCTCCCTCCTTCACCTCCCACTTCGCCATCGCAAAACCCCCGTCGACACCACTCACGCCTACACCAAACCCACCCGAATCACGCTAAACCTTGCCGTCTGTGTTGTAATTGTAATTCTTCCCAAAGTGCGACTGAGCAAGCGGGTTGCAAGCGGTGTGAGGAGCAGCAGCTGCGTCGTTCTGTTGGTAGCTGGATAAATTTCCTCTAGAACCAACAAGACTGATGAGAGGTGAAGCGGGTTAAAAAAGGGCGGGCTTGCGTGCCATAAAGTGCGCACAGTAATGAAGTGGGTAAGAATTACCCACTGCGTGTTACCCTGTGTGGCGTACGGAGGGAACTGCGGAAAGTCTGTGCTCGAAGTATCGGGTAACCCTGCGGTCGTTTCCCCTGAGCGGAGGGAAAGAGCCCTGCACTGAGTTGGCAGGTTTTCCCCCTGCTCTTCCTTACCCCCGCCCCCCCTTTTCGATAGCGCGCCGTTTTTTTGTGTTGCCCATGCAGAGTTTCGTTTCGCACGTTCGCCCAACATTTTTTCGTTCCGCCAACATCTGTTCGCTAGGGCAAATGCCCTTCGATCAACAGTTCTGCTCACTCAATTCTCCATCCCCTCGCACAACAGGTCTGTGGACCGTCGAGCAACAGTCGTTATTAGGGCTTGTTAGGCTGCAGGAGTCACGGTGCCAGTTATCACGAGGCAGGTTCTAGATTCTCCGTTTCACCGCTCTAAGCTCATCGCAGGAAGACGCGTTCAAGTCGAAATAACACTCCAATTCGACAAATCTCAGCTCTTTCGCCTTTCCAGTTTTAACCGAACCAAATCAACCCGCGGATATCGCGGCGATGGACGCGACGGAGGACGAGATCGCGCGCATGCAGGAGGAGCGGCGCGCCAAGGAGCAGGAGCTGGCGGCGCTGGCGTCGGTGAGCTTCGACAAGGACCTGTACGGCGGCGGCGACAAGGACCGGTTCGCCGGCTACGAGATGTCCATTCCCGTCATGGAGGACGAGGAGGAGCAGGACGCCACGGAGCGGGAGGTTGCCAGGTGGGATTCCACTAAAAGTCTTTAGACGCGGAGAGGCGCCATACTTGCCTGTTTCCACTTCTTGATTTTTTTTCCAGAATCTTCCGAGTAGCATTTATTGGTTCCGTTTCCGTCTGTAGCCGGCGTCGTCCCTTTTTTCGAGCATGTTGTCGTCCTTGGTCATTCGTTGAGCTGCATGGCTGCCAGTTCTCCATACGCGACAGTTTTCTACCACCAGCCGTTGGACTCGCGGAACCAACCACGTCCCGTATCAAGATCCGCGTTTCTTTCCCAAGAGCCGCAATCTCAGCGTTTCTTTCCTTATATTCCGCAAGCTCCCTATGCTTCCTCCGCTGCGCTGACATCGCTTGTACAAGTCATTGATTTTCCCGATTTTTGGGAGATTTTGCTCTTGCTTAGCCGACACGTCATGCTGCCAACAGAGATTCCATTCACCAACCTTATCGTACCTCTCTATTCTGCTCCATCTACCGTGCGCCGGCCGACTTAACCCTCTCTCTATCGCTTATGCTGCTCTTAAGGAGCGCATACTTCGTTCTTTGGATCTATCCGTTCTGACTCTAGCCTACCTCTTTACTTACTCCCTTCCCTTACCCCGCCCGCCATGTTGTCTTTTAGAAGTTACCATCCACGGATTCCACGGCACTGCGCCCAAGGAGCTTCTGCACGACACGAGCGACTACTCGTGGATGATGGGACTGTGGCATTGCGGTTCTCTCTCTCTTATCATGACGGATTCTTTCGTCTTCTCTCCGTGTTCCCCCTTTCGCCCGCCTCCAGGAAGCTCGCGTCCTACACGGCGCCCAAGGAGCTGCTGCACGAGGTGCATGCATCAGCGACACGGACTCCCCTCGCCCCTTGCGCTCTCTCACTCTCCCCTCTCTCTTTCTCCCCTCACTCTCACTCCCCCTCACTCTCTCTCCCCTCTCTCTCTCACTCTCCCCTCTCTCACTCTCCCTTCTCTCTCTCTCCCCTCGCCAGGAAGCTGGCGTCCTACACGGCGCCCAAGGAGCTGCTGCACGAGCTGCCGCGCGGAGAGGCTGAGGAAGAGGTGAGCGGAGCCGAGGGTGGGAGGGGTGGAGAGGTGAGGTAAAGAGGAGAGAAGGAAGAGACACAAGTGAAAGCGGAGATGGGCGGAGAGCGGAAGTAAGATGGGAAGAGGAAAGAAGAGATGAGTGGGAGGAAGTGGTGGGGGATGGAAGGGGCAAGAGGAAAAGGGAAGGAGGAGGTGAGGGGATGAGGAGTAAAGGAGGGGGGCAGGGGGGGTTGTATTGGACGAGGGGGGGTCCAAGGGCTATGGTAGGTGGGAGGAGGGTGGGCTGGGGGATGGCAGCGCTGCACAGGTGAAAGGAGAGTGAGATAAGCTGATTGATGGTCGAAGCGACAGGGTATGGGTGTTGCTTTCGCAAATGAGTTCACTTTCTGTCTTCCCATCCCATCCCATCCCATCCCATCCCATCCCATCCCATCCCATCCCATCCCATCCCATCCCATCCCATCCCATCCCATCCCATCCCATCCCATCCCATCCCATCCCATCGCATCGCATCGCATCGCATCGCATCGCATCGCATCGCATCGCATCGCATCGCATCGCATCGCATCGCATCGCATCGCATCGCATCGCATCGCATCGCATCGCATCGCATCGCATCGCATCGCATCGCATCGCATCCCATCCCATCCCATCCCATCACATCCCATCCCATGTGGATTCCAGCTTTCCAGTGTACTTTCGCCCTCCGCTGTCCTCTCTTCCAGCATCCCGCCCTGCCTCTCGTCTCTTCGCCTTCCCCCGACCTCCCAAACCCCCCTGTCTCCCCGCGTCCCCCTCCCTCTCCCTCCCCGCTCCCTCTCGCGGGCTCGTCCAGACGGCGGGGTTGCAGAAGCCGTGGCGCATCATGGACAGGGAGGACGAGTACCGTTGCCGTCCTTGCTCTTCTTGTTCATGCCCCACTCTCCGTCCTTGCTCTTCTTGTTCATGCCCCACTCTCCGTCCTTGCTCTTCTTGTTCATGCCCCACTCTCCGTCCTTCCCCACCCTGCACGCACGCACGCCCCCTCCTTCTCCCCCTCACCAGGCGGCGGGATTCAAGAAGCCGCCGTCGCGCATCATCGACAGAGAGGATGACTACCCCCGCCGCCCCCATAGCTGTCTCTTCTTCATGCCCCACTCTCCGTCCCTCCCTCCCTCCCGTCCCCTCTTACCCACCCCAACCCCTCCTCCCCCCTCACCAGGCGGCGGGGTTCAAGAAGCCATCGCGCATCATTGACAGGGAGGACGAGTACCAACGCTGCTGCATCTTGTGGCCTTGTTCATGCCCCACTCTCTCTCCCTCCCTTCTGTTCCCCCTCCCCCCAAAAACCCCCTTCTCTCCCTCCCTCTCACCAGGCAGCGGGGTTCAAGAAGCCATCGCGCATCATCGACAGGGAGGATGACTACCGGCGCCGACGCCTCAACCGGATCATTTCGCCCGACCGCCATGATGCCTTCGCCATGGTATGGCTCATTGACTCATTGCTCACTGACTCATTGCTCACTGACTCATTGCTCACTGACTCATTGCTCACTGACTCATTGCTCACTGACTCATTGCTCACTGACTCGTTGCTCACTGATTCATTGCTCACTGACTCATTGCTCACTGACTCATTGCTCACTGACTCATTGCTCACTGACTCGTTGCTCACTGACTCATTGCTCACTGACTCATTGCTCACTGACTCATTGCTCACTGACTCATTGCTCACTGACTCATTGCTCACTGACTCATTGCTCACTGACTCATTGCTCACTGACTCATTGCTCACTGACTCATTGATTACTGACTCATTGATTACTGACTCATTGCTCACTGACTCATTGCTCACTGACTCGTTGCTCACTGACTCATTGCTCACTGACTCATTGCTCACTGACTCATTGCTCACTGACTCGTTGCTCACTGACTCGTTGCTCACTGACTCGTTGCTCACTGACTCGTTGCTCACTGACTCATTGCTCACTGACTCATTCCTCACTGACTCATTGCTCACTGACTCATTGCTCACTGACTCATTGATTACTGACTCATTGCTCACTGACTCATTGCTCACTGACTCATTGCTCACTGACTCGTTGCTCACTGACTCATTGCTCACTGACTCATTGCTCACTGACTCGTTGCTCACTGACTCATTGCTCACTGACTCGTTGCTCACTGACTCGTTGCTCACTGACTCGTTGCTCACTGACTCATTGCTCACTGACTCATTGCTCACTGACTCATTGCTCACTGACTCATTGCTCACTGACTCGTTGCTCACTGACTCGTTGCTCACTGACTCGTTGCTCACTGACTCGTTGCTCACTGACTCGTTGCTCACTGACTCGTTGCTCACTGACTCATTGCTCACTGACTCATTCCTCACTGACTCATTGCTCACTGACTCGTTGCTCACTGACTCATTGCTCACTGACTCATTGCTCACTGACTCATTGCTCACTGACTCATTCCTCATTTCTGCTGTGCTGTGCTGTGCGCATGCGTGCACTTTCTTTGCTCCAGCGGCCCACCCAAAGTTTAGATACGATTCTTCCGGTTGAATGAAACTGTGGAGGCATGCGAGCTTGCTGCGGTTCGAATTTGCTTGTCCTGGCTTACTCTCTCTCACCAGGCTTAAATGTCACATCCCATGCATTGCAGCAGCGATGTGCACATACTACGCAGACATGACCAAGGAGTAGGCGTTGAAGACGTGAGGTGGTGGTGCCTATACATATGCTGCATTGCATGTATGCGTCTGTGTGTGTGGGTCTATCTCTCTCCTCGCCCGTCCCACCGGATAGGCGCCACCCCCCTGACGACGCTGCTGCAGTGTGAACATGCGTGGACTCGATAAAGGAGGAGGCGCTGAAGCAAGAGAAGGAGATGTTGGGGCGCTTACACATGTGCTGCACTTGTGTGTGTGTGTGTGTATGTGTGTGTGTGTGTGTGTGTGTGTCTGTGT